CACCCCATTCAACTGGTCAGTCTTGAGAAATCAGGACGCCCTATAGGCCTATTTGACATGGACTCCGATAACATTTAACACATCAGGTAGTTCTCTCTGATATTGAATTATGATATGAACCCTGTTACAAAAGACTGAAAAAGAGGGGGGAAATACTTATTACAAAGTAAGTCTACTCACCTTCCCTCTGCACTGCACACTCTTGATAATCCAGGAAAAATTTGAGTCTCGTAATTCTTACAATTTTCTGCTCTACCCCCGAAGAAACAACACGTCCACGTAAACTGAAAACGTGTGCACACACGCGCACATTGATCCGATCCTCGTCGGTTCACGTCTATAATTTCAAGGGGGAGACAACTACCATATCATAAAGTATAAAAGATTTTAGTTGGTCGTCTCTCTTGCAACTATCAGCAGAGACACTAAAATATAATTAAATACTCTGCTATCAGTATCAGCAGACGCAAAAATAGCCTACGCCAAAGTAGGCTAAAAGTAAAAGCGAAAGGTAAAATAGAAAATTACGTAGTCAACTTGAAATTGAAATAGACTTCAGCTAGATCTAGATCTACAAGATAGAAAGAGTTGTCAAAGGTGAGGAGGAATTATAATCTCAGTAGAGTCTACACTGTTTTGATTTATGAACAAACACCAGATAGGGCTCACGTGTATGAACAAAGTTTTCTTTCTTTCTGTTTTTAAATAGATCTATATTCTAGAAGAGATCTTGATATCTAAATCTAGATCTAGATATCTAGATTCTTAGATCTACAATCTAGATGTAGCCAAATTATTAGATTACAGACCTAATAAAAGGAGCAACACGTCAAAACAGCCCAGCAATAAGCACCCGCAGGAAGGTTACTGATATTTTGTTACATGAGGGCCTGGAATCTTGGACTTTAGACCAGTTATAGGCATTATGTTCGGACCCTGGGCCTAGGCGTAGGTGACGTTCATAAATTGAAAGAAAACCCTTGTTTAAAACCCGTATAAAAATGGGGGTTTTTTTTACTCTGACGTCTTTATTTGTTTATATTTGATACACAGGCACTGTCGTCAGACTCACTTTTGAACCATTAAAAATTTCCCTTTGCAAGGCACTTTAATCTAACTAAACCCATTCCAGGCCACTGTTTTTTTGTGGGGGGGTTTTCTTTTGACTTTTTTTATTTGTTTTGTTTGTGTTTTTCGTTGTCGTTGGGGGTTTTTTGTGTGGTT